AGTTCAGTCTTAGAAGTTGGTTGTATTTTCTGCTTCTTATGATCCAAATAATCACATTCATTGATGTTGAGGTCTGGACTCTATGGTGGCCTATATATTGCTCTAAGAACACCTGGGGCCGCATTACAGAACCTTCTTAAGTCTAAAATCTTATCTGCTTAGTCACCATGACAACTTTAGTTAGGACTGAATTTAGGACAGAAGCTATTACAGAACAACAGCTCTTAAGGTTGTAATCTTATCCTAACTCCAGATAAGAAAACTGCATTACAGAAACATCCTAACTAGACTAAATCTCCGGAATACTGTCCTAACTTTAACACAACCCCAGAGCGTCTTAACTTCTGTTTTAACCGTCTGTTTCTATTGTTTTACGCAGTGTCAGGCGGCGCAGTTCACTATAACCAGCATAACGACGTCACATTTATCTACACTGAACACGGTGCTTTGACTAGTGAGGGTTTTTTCTAACAGCGTTTAAAAACCCCAGACACTGCAGACTCGATCTCCACTGTCCCCTCTTATTACCTTCGTGTGTTTATGTTGATGATAAAATATTACAGTGATGGTGGTGAATAATGAGGACACAGAGCTGAACGTTTGTCCGTTTATTAGGAGAATAACGTTAGCGCGCTCGGCTGAAGCGTTTGGGAAATGAAACTGAAACTGTGGAGCGGAGACTCTGATAAACAGCACGAAACGCTGACACAACATTCTTAATTTTCAGTTTATCACACTTTAGTTTTGTTTGACCTTTTTTGTAGCTACATCAGTAACGGTAGCTAACGTTTGCTGTCTAGCTTGATTATTTTGATTATGTGTTTACGTTTCAGCGGTGCGCGTATGGTCGGTTGCTCGGTAACAGACCCTGACAGTTGATTGTCGACTTCGATCGATTAAGTAAAGATTTCTTAACTTGAGATAAGATGCTGGGGCCGTATTACAGAAAATTCTTATTTTTTGGTCTTAACTTAAGATCTGACAGGTCAAGATAAGATTTTTCACAAATTTGTATTACAGAAGCAAATCTTATCTTAATTTAAGAATCGAACCTTCCAGCGTCTTATCTCAAGTTAGGAAATCTAAACTTACTCGATTGAAGCCGACAGTCAACTGTCATGTCTGTTGTCTAGCAACCGACCATAGTGCACAGCTGAAACGTAAACACGTAATCAAGTTAGCCAGACAGTTAACGTTAGCTGCGGTTACTTGGGTAAAGAAAGTCAAACAAAACTAAAGCGCAGTAAACTGTGCTGTTTATTAGAGCGTCGCTGCTCCACAGTTTCAGTCTCCATTTCCCAAACACTGCAGCCAAGCGCGCTAACGTCATTCCTCCTAATAAACAGGCACCTGTTCAGCTCTGTCTCCTTATTATTTACCACCATCACTGTAATATTTGAATCATCAACATTAACACACAAATGTAATAAGAGAAGGTGGAGATCGTGTCTGCAGTGTTTGGGGCTTTTAAACGCTGTTCGAAAAAAATCACAAGTCAAAGCGCCGTTTTCAGTGTAGATAAATGTGACGTCATTATGCTGGTTATAGTGAACTGTGCTGCCTGTCACTGCATAAAACAATAGAAACAGACGGTTAAAACAGAAGTTAAGACGCTCTGGGTTTATCTTAAAGTTAAGTAAATATTTAGGATATTTTGGCAACTTAGGATGTTTCTGTAAAACCATTTTCTTATCTGGAAATAAGATTATAGACTTAAGAACTGTTGTTCTGTAATGGCTTCTGTCCTAACTTCAGTCTTAACTGAAGTGCCCATGACAACAAAGCAGATCTCAGACTTAAGAAATTTCTGTAATACAGCCCCTTTAAGATAAGATTCCTAAATCAAGATCAGATTTGCTTCTGTATACGAATTTATGAAAAATCTTATCTTGACCTGTCAGATCTTAACTTAAGACAAAAAGATAGGAAGTTTCTGTAATAGGGACCCGGAAGCTACTTCTTTCTTCTCTTTCCTCTTAACAGCTACACATCCTTTCAGAGCCATAGTGTTGTGGATTTGTGAAGTGCTGTTTATCTGGTGGGGACAGTTTTGGTGGTCTACCAGGTTTTGCACGGTTGTTAGCAGTTCCATTTCCTCTGTAGTTTTTGATCATTTTTTGCACTCCGGTTTTTTCACTTATTTTCCTTTGACTTTTTCCTTGCTTATACAAGTGGGTCATTTTAGACCTAACCTCCTCAGAAATACTGAATAACCCATACTTAATGTCTGTTTTGACTGGAAATCAAGTAAACGAAGAGTGGTCTCTGACTTTGGCACAGTACTGTGTTTAAGGGGGGAAATCATCACTTTCTAAAAATACTAAATAAGTGAACTATCAGGATAATCTGTCCATGACCAACACAATCATCTATGGTTGCTTAGCCATGTTAAAACTGGATTTAGACGCATTATTTTTGGTTTATAAAGCCCAAGTTGTACAGCTCCAATAAAGCATTTCTTCTCAAACCGCAAAACACTTGATATTTTAACAGCGTTAAGGGGAAGAAATGGTGGATCCATCCGCTAAAGGAAAAACGACACTAATGCTGTTGTGGTTGAACTTATGTTCCACTGTGTTGATACAGAGGGTGTAGTTCTCCAGTAGATGAAACAGCCCCAGGTGATGGAAAACTGAAAACATACTAAAAATGATGCCTCTTCTTTGACCTTTGGATGAGGAACATGCTGAAAATCAAACAGAGCAGCAGGGCCATGGGTTATGAGATGGTCACAGGACTGTCCTGAACATCCAGTTCCATAAACACCTGCTTTTGTAAAGTAACAGCTTCCAGACCGGCTTTTGTGCACATATCTGATCCCTTGCACACCATATCTAACATTGTTATCGAGACGCATAACTGAAATGCACATACTTGTCCACTAAGGACAAATACATGCTAACATCAGAGCATTGTTTGGACGTGAAAGGAGCTAACTGTTTCAGCATGGGGAGTGCTATTTCTTTATCAGATTGGAAGCTCTTTCGCAGAATCCTTCCCAAAAATATGGCTCTCGCTTTAGTTTCCACCCTACTGTATGTGTTACTAAATTCTGGGTGGAAATAATTTGTCTTTTCCATGCCGATGTGGCATGTGTATACTGGGGACTCTCCAGTACATTGCTCTTTTACGTAAGGTGGGTCAAACAGAATCAGGTTATTTCGCTCAAGTGGAAATGCTGGAAAAAGTGCAGTCGACTGACTACGGCCAGAGTCATGGTTAAAGGAATAGTCCAGTGTTTCTATCTAAACTCTATCTGCTGTGTCTGTAGCATACAGTTGATCACCACAGACATTAATTCCCCTGTACTTTAAAAAAGAACAGGTCTCACTTTGTTTGGCTAGTCCACTATAGTCTCCTATAGATTATCTACAGACGTTTAAATTATTACCTACACCGATCAGGCATAACATTATGACCACCTCCTTGTTTCTGCGCTCATTATCCATCTTATCAGCTCCACTTACTATATAGGTGCACTTTGTAGTTCTACAGTTACAGACTGTAGTCCATCTGTTTCTCTGCATACTTTGTTAGCCCCCTTTTACCCTGTTCTTCAGTGGTCAGGACCCCCGTGGACCCTCAAAGAACATGTACTATTTGGGTGGTGGATCATTCTCAGCACTGCAGTGACACTGATGCGGGGGTGGTGTGTTAGTGTGTGTTGTGCTGGTCTGAGTGGATCAGACACAGCAGTGCTGCTGGAGGTTTTAAACACCTCAGTGTCACTGCTGGACTGAGAATAGTCCACCAACCAAAAATATCCAGCCAACAGCGTCCTGTGGGCAGCGTCCTGTGACCACTGATAAAGGACTAGAGGATGACCAACACAAACTGTGCAGCAGCAGATGAGCTATCATCTCTGACTCTACATCTACAAGGTGGACTGACAAGGTAGGAGTGTCTAATAGAGTGGACAGTGAGTGGACACAGTGTTTAAAAACTCCAGCAGCACTGCTGTCTGATCCACTCAGTACCAGTGCAACACACACTAACACACCAGCACCACCACATCAGTGTTACTGCAGTGCTGAGAATGATCCACCACCCAAATAGTACCTGCTCTGTGAGGGTCCATGGGGGTCCTGACCACTGAAGAACAGGGTAAAAAGGGGCTAACAAAGTACGCAGAGAAACAGATGGACTACAGTCTGTAACTGTAGAACTACAAAGTGCTCCTATATAGTAAGTGGAGCTGATAAAATGGACAATGAGCGTAGAAACAAGGAGGTGGTCATAATGATATGCCTGATCGGTAAACAGTGGTGGAGTTTGGACCAGGGTGAGGGTTGGTTTTAGGTTTTGGGTTGAGGTTAAGGTTAGGATTAGAACCAGGTTTAGAGTTATTAAGTATCTACAAAGCATCTAAAGTGGACTATCCAAATAAAGTTACCAAAGAACATTTCTATTAAAAGCCAGGGGGCTGATCTTTCAGCATGGGTCAGCAATGGGTGCCAATTTGAACTGGCCATCATTTACCCAGGGTTGTGGACAACCAAAATAACAAATCAATCACTGAAAGATACAGTATTATGAATTCAATGAAAAAATTTCATTAAGAAGGAACATTATGGCCATACATATTTTAAAAAACAAAAAACGAAGAAAAACAACTGTAATTTTCTGTATCGCATTGAAGTCGTGGGACAAAAATCCTGCCTCAATAAACATTAACCTTAACTTAGAAAATGGTAGACATATATGAATATATTACATTTCGACCATGAAGAAGATGGTCTCTGATAACGAATGATGACGGCAGATGTCAGAGTCAAAAATAACAATAATTAAAACAGAAACAAGTGGTCTTCATGAGTTGAACCGACATTGGAGTTCAGTGGCATTAACAGTCCGAACAAAACTGAGCTCGATCCACCAGAGACCCTTTCCTGTCCTTGCTGGATAGTTATATCATGGTCAGAATGAGATACAAAGGCACATTGGTAAAACAATGCATGTCAAACCTCCTCAAAAAATACTGCAGTGGATCTTTTTGTGAGACGGGTTTTTAGGGAGTCTCTTGGCAACTTTCTGTCACTCAGACTTCTGTCTTAGTAATTAGGGCTCAAGCACTGAGCTGCTAATGACGGGGTGCGATCGGCACTTTAACAGTCTTTATTTCTGCTATATGGGAGGATTTTTGGATGATGCAGCTGGTCGTCCCTGTAGTGCCCACACTCTCTTCACCCTGGGCCAGGTTAGTCAAGGCCATGGCAGCATGGATCTCCTTCCAGTAGGTGGTGTCTTTCCCATGAACCCCTCCTTTACGAACACCGCCACTCCTGAAACGCAGGAGGAGAGATTTAGCGATCAAAACGGAGGATTTGGGGATCATATTTATACAGTTTATCCTAAATATAGTCAACCAGCCAACAGGTTTTGGGTCCAAAGCAGTAGCATAGCCAGAATAACCTTTTTTTCTGGGGGGACTGAAAGGCACTAAACAGTAAGTCGGAGAGACATCACTAGAGTAAGGCGACAACCACCATAAGCCTGTTTCACTGTAAGTTAAATCATTAGAAGATTACCTGCCCATTATTAATAAGACAAAAAAGTCATTTTTGAACAGAATTGTCAACATGATTCATGGCCTCACAATTAGTTAGTAACTACAACGTTTGACAGCAACCATGGTGGATAAAGGCTATTTAAGAGTCCTGCCTTTCACAGCACTAGGAGAGGAGTGGGCCGAATTGTTGAAGGTTACAGGACTTTGCTAGCCATACTTAAGATCATTGTTTCTTGGCTTCTGTTCGCACATCAGCCCTCTTAGTAATTTCACAAGATTTGTACTCTGGTAATGGCAAATTGTAGAGTCAGTCTTACTGCCACTTTGATTCTGGCTTGTGTTCAGAATCGAATAGCTGCGTTGCAAAGCCTAGTCTGCAGCCGAGTTAGGCTGCATTTCTCGACCGCAACGTCAAAGAAGGCTGTTCCAAAGTGAAGGACCCTTCGTATACAGCCTAGAAATGCAGCCTATGTTCTGAGTGATGTTGAGGATGCAACTGATGTATCCGTCCCGGCCTTCGGTTACCCACAGTTCTCTTCGCATGAACGACAAGAAGGAAAACAGCAACGAGAAAATGACGGAAAATGAAGCTACAGGAACCAAGCCTGTTTTACAAAGTAAGTTGTTCACATCCTTGAATTCGACTTCGTTACCTTATAAAGTGTAAAATGACTGATTAATTAAAGCGTTTGTCCATATATCATATTTTATTTAGAAGTATTTCTGTATATGTAGTTTATCGTATTGTACTCTCCTCCATTTCCGTCAGAAAATGAAAAAGCAACAAACACAATGCAACAGGCTCAATTTTGTCCCACCAGCTCCCTCACAAGTTTTGCGCTACAATTACAAGAGGCGAGACCTTTCTGGCGACGTCACCACGCAGCCTCGTTCCATTTCGTGTGACCAATAGGCTGCTAAGGAAGAGTCTTCATAGGACAGTCCCTGCCGAGGACCCTCCCTACCTCAGCTGCAGCCTAGGCTTTGGAATGCAGCCTTTGTATGTTAATTTCCATTGAATTTCTGCTTAAACGTACATGTGAAAAGAGCCTTTGTCTTGATTTTTTGGAATTGGGAATCCAGAAAATTATTGTGCGGAATCGTCACCTGGAATTGTAATTTCTAGAATCGAACAGTGATCTCATACAAAAATTGGAGATGACCAAAGAAGAGCTTCTTTAATCTCTTTTATTTACTTAAGGTGGAAAAAAGCATAGATGTCATTGCCACTGTAGCTACGCCCCTGGTCCAAAGTTTATTTCAGTATATGGAACTTATGCCCAACCAATTAGCTTTGTTCCAATAGCGTGCCTAAATTATCACATTTAACTTAATTATGTTGAGTTGTAACTTCAAATAGACTTGCTTTTGTTACTGACACTATGACACAGGGCACTGTTTCTCAACCCTGGTCCTGGAGGCCCACTGCCCTGCACTTTTTAGTATTTTCCCTGCCCCCAACACACCTGATCCAACTAATCAGGTCATTAACAGACCATTATTGAGGTCAAGTGGCTGTGTTAAAGCAGGGAAAGCATTAAAATGTGTTGGACAATGGCCCAGGATTGAGAAACACCGATATAGGGTACATCACATAGCCAAAAACAGTAGTCGCAGCCAACTTGAACACAGAAATTGCTCTGTACTTTTGTCAATGTTTATAGATAACAGTATCATACAGTTTCAAAAACAACCTAAGCAAGTCTATTAGAGATTACTTAACAACTCAACGCGGTTTGAGGCAAGTAGATATGCAGTTTGCACAACTTTGCACAAGTTAAATTAGTCTCTGCTTCAAAACTAAAGAAGCAAACCTTGAAACAAGTACATTTGGGGAAAGGGGAAAGTGTAAATATCCATTATGGTTTTAAAGGGGGTTTTAGGCATTTGCAGTATAAAGGAAAGTCTTACCTATCACAGGGATGTGAGCCACAGTCCAAGGATTCTAGGAAAAAATAAAAAAGAACCTTCAGTATTGTTTGTTACAACCTAAACATCTGTCGGCCGAGCTGAAATAGCCCAGGTCCTGCATGGAAAACCACAGAAAGCGAAACTAAGGTAAACACAGATTGGATACATCATTCGGCCCACTAACGTCGTGGCCCATTATAACTATCCGAGTGCACATGAGCGTGCACTTGCTTTCGTGTAAATCTGATCTAAATGTCTTGGAGCAGTTTCCCAAGCCTGCTCCTGCAGTTCGCCTGTCCTTCACATTTTCGAGTTTTCCTGCTCTAACACGCCCATTCCAACCACATGAAGGGTTTGAGAATGAGCTGATGAGTTGAATCAGCCATGCTGGGAGGAAAACACTAAAATAGGGAATAGCAGGGGGACTCCAGGCAGGTTGGGAAACACTCTCTTAGTGCATGTGCGTGCTAGCGAGCGAGTGTGTGTGCGTCTGTTAAGAGGTTTAAGCAAAGTGCTGCAGGCCGTTTGACCGTGCTGGGGCGCTTTGGCCAAAACAAATGCAATTATGTCTGTGCTGCGTGGAGGAGATGGAAAAACCATATCTGTGCTGTGTCAGGAACACAGCCGCTCTGTTCCACCGCTCCACAGCTCATTTGCATCATTTAACGTTATTACAGTGCTTTTTTTTCTCTCCGACCCTCTCTGTTCCCCTGACACTGTTTTACCAGACTCTCAAGCGAGCAATGGCGCTGTACTGATACCCCCTCTGAGAACAAAGGTCGTTTGAACACCCCTGGTCAAATGACAGGTTTTGTTGATTTTCTAAGTGTTAATAAGTTAACACATTCTCTACAGAGGACACTTAAATATGGCATTATTATTATTATTATTACAAGTTAAATTTAGCAAATAAACACACATACATTTCATATTTCCCATAAGCACTACATATACCATCTGCAAAATAGTAACTTTTCAGGGGAAGGAATCAAAGAATAACTTAATAACTTATAATGGAAGTTAACATAAAAAAGTAATTCTGTTGTCCATTCAACATGAAATGTTTATACAATGTAAATGACAGCTGACAATAAATTTCTAATATCAATTTGAAAAAGAACTTTAAAAAAAATGCCACAACGTTAGAAATATTTTGCGGGAGTAGATGAATGTTCAGTTGAAGGTCACAGCATGCCGGCCACATCACGTAGCATTACATCGTAAATAATAAAACACTGCTGGACTACATACAATGTGTCACAGTTAAAGTGCTGGAAAGTCTCAAATTTATTTTTACACTCTACTTGTATAAATCGAATGAAATAAAACATTATTTATGAGTGAATCATGTTTTGTATCAGTTTGTGTGTCAGTTTCCTCACTCCTTCACAAACTCACTGTTTTCAAGCTGAAAGATACGCAGTGAGAAAGACTAAGGAAGTAATGTTAGCTGAGAGGACAATTTATTAACGTTTGTTTAACTAGAAGATTGACTGCCTTTCGATCCATATGTGACCTGTTATGGTCTTCTGCGGTGTCAATATCACTTTAATTTAATGTAGTAATGGCAGAATGCTGAGTAGTGTACAGAGAAATTGAACAGTCGCCAAGTGCCGCCGTGCAGCCACACCAAATGCCGGCATTGGTGCATGCACCTTCATTAAAAACAATGGTTTTGAATTTTTGTGTGGTGGCCTTTACTGTAGAGGAGAGTAAAGGAGTATTTTAGTGTAGACTACTGGTTCTATAGGTCTGTGGAATCTGTGGGTGTGGCAGACTGCGCTGATGACATCTCAATAGCCCATAAGTGACAGGCTGCACCAGTCACATCACAATGGTCCACAAATGACAGGCTGCACCAGTGACATCACAATGGCCCATTAGGGATAGGCTGCATTCATGACATTACAGAGGCCCATTAGTGACAGACTGCATGGATGGCATCGCAATAGTTGATAAGTGACAGGCTGCTTTGATGACATCATAAGGGCCCATTAGTGACAGACTGCACTGTTGGCATCACAATGGCCTATAAATTACAAGCTGCTTTGATGACATCACAGTGGCTCATAAGTGACAAACTGCTTTGATGACATCAGAATGACCCACAAGCAACGGGCTGTACTGATGACATCACAATGGCCCATAAGTGAAAGGCTGCTTTGATGACATCATAATGGCCAATAAGTGATAGAATGCATGGATGACATCGCAATGTCAATAAGTGAAAGGCTGCTTTGAGGACATCACAATGGCCCCTAAGGGACCAGCTGCATTAATGACATCACAGTGGCCTGTAGGTTACAGGCTGCACTGATGACATCACAATGACTCATAAGGGATAGGCTACACTGATGACATCACAATGGCCCTTAAGCGACAAACTCCTTCGATGACATCGCAATGGCCCATACGCAACAGGCTATACTGATGACATCACAATGGCCCACAAGCGGCAGGCTGTACTGATGACATCACAATGGTCTACAAGTGAAAGGCTGCTTTGCTGACGTCACAATGGCCCATAAGTGACAAACTGCTTTGATGACTTCATGATTAACAATAAGCAACAGGCTGTACTGATGACATCACAATGGCCCACAAGCGGCAGGCTGCACTGATGACATCACAATGGTCTACAAGTGAAAGGCTGCTTTGCTGATATCACAATGGCCCATAAGTGACAAACTGCTTTGATGACTTCACGATTAACAATAAGCAACAGGCTGTACTGATGACATCACAATGGCCCACAAGTGACAGGCTGTACTGATGACATCACATTTGTCTATAACTGAAAGGCTACTTTGATGACATGACAATGTTCCATAAGTGACAGGTTGCACCCATGACATAACAATGGTCTATAAGTGACAGACACTGAAAATACAAGTAATTGTATGGGAATTTCATAAATTGTAAACTTTCATATTTATAAATCTTATAAGTTATTACTTATAAATCTAATAAAAAAAACGCAAAAGCAATCATTTGCACTGAGTTAGGAAGAGGTGCTGAGTTTGGTGGCTGTGGGCCATCACACTAACGTTTTGTACAATGAATAAATTGAATTAGAAGCTAGCTACAATGAACTACAACTGATAAAAAGTAACATACTATAATATCAGCAGTCATAAGCTGTGTGAAATAGAGATGTTGTGTAGATCTGTTGTGCGGCCGCATGCTCCACATGCATACAAATATAGGTCAAATGATCTATGCCACAGACAGACACGTTTTTACAGTAGTCTTTTGGAATTGGCCTCTTGTCAGGTGTATCTGCTTCAATTTGGCTTGCACAGATGAAACTGCCTCATTATTCTGCTGGAAGAAGCCAGATCAGTGAGGAAAAATCTCTCTTAGGGGAGCCATGAGAGGGAAAATTGGACTGCGACCTCTCGCACACGAAACACAATTTTCAATAGTCTTTGCCTAAAACATCTCCCGCTCAGATTTCTTAAAACAGCATCTGTGCCAAAAGCTACTATAAGGCATTAATAAATCATTTGGCCTAAACTCTACTGCTGCTACTGAATGTCTCTCTTTAGCCACTTAGGCTTGATTGAGCTTCTCAAGGCGAAGAAAACCTGTGTTTAAACGAATTTAATTTTAATCAGCGAAATTCAATTGTCTCACTTCCTAATAATACTTAATACGCATAATTGTCAATGGTTCAGAAATGCCAAAGTCAGGTTGAGTTCGGAAAAACTCCGAGCACTTCAAATGACACAGCTGACCAACTGAATTCCAGTTGACCACAACTTTCATCACATACCACAAGCTTATGCATGGGCATATATTTAGTCATGTGCAAAAGTTTGAACACCCGTGGGCAAATTACAGGTTTTGTTGATTTTCTAAGTGTTAATAAATGAACACATTCTCTACAGAGAACACACTTAAATATGACATCATTCATAACCTCTTATGCTCGTGGGTATATTATGGTTTTCGTAAGACAAATTATTCAGTAACTGCATGAAATAAATGTTAATTTTTATTTAATTTATTTTTTTTTTTGTAAAAGTTCCCCTCAAATTAACAGAACGTGTGTTTTATGATCACACATATTGCTATATGCTTACAATTTACTGCTGAAAGCCAAAAATCTTAGACTCTCTTTGTATTATTCTATTGTGAGTTCAGCTTCTTTTATTATAAAATTTAAAAATTACATTACCCATCTATTTGACTGGAAAGAAGACAGTTACAGCTCTCATATGACCCCCACCTTTTGAATGTAGCTTATGAAATATGAAAGTTATGAAGAATATGACAAAGTGCGTTTTGGAACCACCGGTGGTTCCAAGGAGTTTAAAAGGATAAGTTAAATTAAGCAAATAAGCAGTAATTATACACACATACATTTCATATTTCCCATAAGCACTACATACACCATCTGCAAAGTAGTAACTTTACAAGGGAAGGAATAAAGGAATAACTTAATAACTTATAATTGAAATTAACATAAAAAAATTAAGTAATTCTGGATCATTTCTGTTGTCCATTCAACATGAAATGTTTATACAATGTAAATGACAGCTCTAATTATATAAAAAATGACAAAAAAAATGTATTACACACGTAAGTAACTATGCGTAAAATGTGTTTTATATTATATTAAATATGTAAGTACCTATATGTAATATGCCCCGTATGCATTATAAATGTAAATAACTACATGTAATCATGTCACAAATTTATTATATATTGTCGATACATATTGATTTTCATTTTTCTTCATGATTTGTGCACAGCAGCTGAGTTTTACATTATATGGAAATTTCGTGATGAACAGACCAACAGAAATTCTCCAAAACAGTTTGGAATAAAAACTATTTAATTTTGATTAAAAGTTTTTGCCTTCTTCTGTAAAGTTACTATTTTGGAGATCTAAGAATCTACATGTACTGATAATGTGTCCCATATGTATTATAGATATGTGAGTATCTATGTGTAATAAGTGAATCAGTAAGTCAATCAATGTAGGTTAACACTATTTTGTCCTGAAAATTTACTAAAACAAACACACTC